ACTCAGGGAATGGGGGGCGGCAGGGAGGGCACACCTGCTAGAAATGTAGGCCTCATCATTGTAGATAGCAAGCTATGTATATTAGTAACAACAAATATGTGTTTAGTATTCTAACACGTAGCAAAAGTAAAAAATGCATTTGGCTAATATTAGCATTAAACAAAAACACTTGATTGGACATACCCTGAAAAGTCAAAAATGTAAGAGAAATGTTAAAGTAGTTTTCGAGCAGGTTAAAGTATGAGTAGAGGCACTACATCCCAATATTAATTTATATTGGTCATAGCAAAAATCATCAAATTGCCTTGAATATCAGAAATAAAATAGTGTGGTCCTTTAGATCAGCACATCAGGTACAGGTTCTAGAAACAGAGACATCCATTGTTCATGTCAGTTCTTGTCTACCTCATGTGAAAGCAGACTTACTAACGCAATTTTTTTTTTTTTTACTGATAATCTGCAAACTCTTTGCTAACAGTTTTTTTTACTGCTATACACTTTATATAATGTAAATATAACCTTTTTGCCAGGCCCCAGATAGCACTAACAAGGGCCAGGTTCAAATTTAGGGGTTTAACACCAACTTTCTAAATATGGCTCAATCCCCACCTACTTGTCACTTACTCTTTTCTCAGCTGCTACTTTTTTTTTTTTTTTAATTAAACACATCACCAGGGATCCCAGCTTTCCATGATAAAAAACCCAAAATTCTCCCATACAAATACATAAAAATCTGTGTATTTCCATGGTGAGTCCCCTCCAAAATACTGATTGGCCAAGGCCCTGCCCTTTGATACTGATTGGCAAAGAGGGGCGAGGCTGCGTGACAGGCATCCCTCTCATCCAATTAGCAGTGGAGGGAGAAGGGAGCAGCTGCCATTTTGGCTGTTTCCCTGTGTGTCAGGGGCTTCTGCCTCCATCTCCCCATTGCTCCCTTATGGCCACAGAGAAAAGACCACCTCCATCCTCTATCATCTGCTTTCAGGTATTTGAAGACTGTTATCAAATCTCTCCTCAGACTTCTCTTCTGCATGCTAAACAACCCTAGGTGATTCAACCTTTCTTCATCAGTCTTGCCTCCCCAGCCCCTAATCATTTTTGTTGCCCTGCACTGGACTCTTTCCAAACTGTCCACAATCTCCTTGAGGTCTCGGACTTGATACTGGAGTAGTCCAGGTGAGGTCTCACCAGTGCAGAACAGAGTGGAAGAATTACCTTGACTTGCACTTGATTTGCAAGTGCCACTCCTCTTAATACAATCCAAAATGCTGTTGGTTTTTTCTGCAACAAGAGCACACTGTTAGCTCATATTCAGTTTATAATCCACTGTATCCCCCAGGCCCTTCTCTGCAGTACTGCAGTCTAGCCACTCATTCTTCAGTCTGAGTTTCATGCATGCAAGTATTCCATCCCAAGTGCAGGACTTGGCATTTATCCTTGTTGAGTCTTACTTGACTGCAGCAATTATTTTACCCCCTCCTCACTCCCACATGCTAATCATCCCTATCCCAGACCACTCCTCAACCTTCCCCTGCCAGCTCCGCTCCCCCTCTCCCAGCACAAACTCCTGCTCACTGCCTTACCCCACTTCTGGCCCTACAGCACCATGTTGGCTGCACCATCTGCCTTGGTGTCGCACGTTGTAGCTCAGACTGCCCAGAGGCCATGTTGTTCTGCCTACCTTTAAGGCAGCAGTCATTTTAGGCAGGTGATGGCTGCCAGGACACAGCAGCAGCATGTGGTTGACGTGGGAGGGGGCGAGGGTTTGTGTGGGCCACAAACCTCTGCCAGAGAGCTCCCTGCAGGGCACTGCCACTCGCACACAAAGTGGTGCAGTTCTTTTCTATCTGTCCATCAACACTTACATCCTGCCTCTTCCTTACAGATCTTCAAACCAAACACACTGTTTCTTAGTTTTTTATTTGACAGCTTAATTTTTAAAGACTTTACAGACAAGTGATTTCAGCTTCTTCATTTTTTAAATCCAGATTATCTGTAAATTTACAGACATTTGGCAACCCTGCCTAAAAGATGGAAACATCCTAAAACCTCTTTTAAATTAAGAAGCGAAAGTTAAAATCTCATAATGCATTACTCTGTATTTGGGTGTTGATAAAGAGAGAGGCATTGGAGCTGTTTGGCAGCCCAGTAGAAAAATAAATCTTGAGGGGAAAAATTGCTTGTTAATGCTTGTAGCAATTTAGATTTGTTATAGTCAAGTTAACCTGAAATCACAATGATGCCATTCATCCCCACCCACAGTAATTAGAAGCAAGAATGCAATATGTTTAGTACATGAGCAAAATAATTAGCATCTAAAGATAATACCAAGAAGTTATCAACAGCATTCCAGCTCAGCAGGCTCCAAAAGGGCACACCACTGCAAGATTACTTATTTGTGCTTACCTCTCTCTCTCTTTGGAATCCACGTGCCTCTGGCATTTACCAGCTGCTTGTTTCCTTCACCCATCTGTTCTGGCTGCATGGGCCTAAGCAGTGGCATGCCTCTAATACCTCCCAGCCAGCTTTTGTGAAGTGGTAAAGATCACTGAAAGGTGTCCAGCTGGTCTCTTCTACCTCTTTCTTTTAAGTGCCATTTTCTGCTTTGCCTCCCCTCCCTTAGCATCTGCATTTGCAAGTTCCATGCAAGGTTTCATAGATAGAGTTGTCCATTTCTAATTGCACTACAAATGATTATGCCAGACCATTTACTACCTACACACTCCTTTAGTATTAACTGCAGTGAGATAAAACAAGCTCAGCTTTCTTCAGTTACTTTAATGAAGTCTTTAAACAAGAGCATGTTCCCTGTGTAAAAAAAGACAGTAAAATAATTAGAAAATATATAAATCACTCAGGAAATGCACAATAAGTGTTGGATAGATTAAAAGAAACAAAATGTTCCATGAAAGTAAACAGGGGGTTGCCATTCTTTTCAATAACAGTGAGTCCAGCATAGTAAATCTTATTGACCTGATGATAACATGCATTGTATGCTTAGGAGCAGGCTTTCTTGGGAGGAATAGTCAGCTAATGAACATACTGAAAGTACAGTAGATCTTGAATCAACTGTCTGTGGAATTTCTGCTGTGGATACAGGGAAGGATGAGTTCTTGGCGAACAAACCAACAAAATCTTTTCTATACAATTTGTTTAAATAATACTTATTTAGTTGTTTCTGGGACAAATTTTCAAAGCTGAAGGCATGCGATGCATGCGTAACAGCTGTGTTATGTTTACGCATACTGTTACTCTGGTTACATTTCTAAATGGTTAGCCATATTCTTTGTGCGTAAAAATGCTTGGCTGTTACGCACAAATGAAACATAAGCCTGATATTTCAGATTGAAACTGGGGACCTGTGAAGTATGGCCGATTTCAGCTCAGAGGCAATTAATATACTCAGAATATAAATGCTGAATATGCATGATTAAGAAGTAATGATGAGGCGTTTTAATGACACAGCACTATATATGCTATACTAATAATGATATTGGTACAGCATTATACTAAATAAAATGACAATTTCATTTAGCATATTTAAAAATTCTAGACGAGAACAACTAACTAAGCAACCACATCAGTGATTTGCTGTTAAGGGAAATCTAAGCAGGGGTTATATTAGTATTAATATGAACAGAGCTTAATTACATTGTTCTAGCATCTTTTCAATATTAATATATGTATTAAGGCTGATGAGATTGCTGAAGTGTAATGTATATTGATTATATACATTATTCTAGTTTTATTTGTTGTGTATGGAGACTAATAAATGTCATGTTTTTCAGATCAAAAAGGTTGCAATATATCTGTGTCGGAATAACACTATTCAAACAATGGAAGAGCTGCTTTTTGAGCTGCAGCAGACAGACCCAGTGAACCCTATAGTCCAGCATTGTGATAATCCTCCTTTTTACCGTTTTACTGCCAGCAACAAGGCCTCAGCTGCCGCTTCTGGTATGGGCTAAATGTTTTTTTAGCTATGACTTTTCACTACTTTCTCATTTTTTTTCAGATTTTTTTAGTTTCTTCATGCACATTCATATCCATACATACAAGTGCACACATTTTAGGGCCTTGTTTCACATCATGGCAAAAGTTTTTGCATTTATGGAGTATTTCATGTCTTGTAAATTTGCATTCACTTTTCCTTACCATTTGAAAAGGATACGATCAAGATCTGGTGAAGTATTTGAATTGGTTCTTCTATCACTAGTATCACAGAATGATATGCCACCAGCGACCCCATGATCACAGCAGGGAAATCTCTTTGACAGGCTAATACCTTAATTGTGTTGTAGGCCTAGTTTTGAAGGACTTATGTCACTTTCAGAAGAAGGTAGTCAAAGAGAATATGACACAATAACACACTGCATGTCAAGCTCAGCATCACTGGCATCCTACCAAGTTCTGCAGAAACAGTAGATTAATCTGCTTTTAACAAGCTCTTAGTACAGAGCATGAGAAAATGCCACCAAATTAACCTGTCATTTGGTGCACTGCAGATCATGCAGGTAGAACCTGTTATTTGGAGATGTCATTATTCATGCTAGTGAAACTGATACTGTATATGCATAATCGCTGTTTTTGCTGTGGCCTACAACAGAAACTTACAGGGTTTTTTGTTATGTTAGTATGAATGAAAAATAACTTATAAAAATATTATGTACCGTATTTAATGGGTGTGCTTGTTGCCATCCCACATACAGGAACCACCTCTAGCAGTAATACTGTTGTAGCTGGCCAAGACAGTTTTCCTGACATAGAGGAGAGCAGGATGGTGAAAGAAACTGATGAAAGGTTTGTAGAATGTGTGCATTTTTCTTCAGTATTAAGGGTCATATCCTCAGCTGGTAATATCAGCCAAGTGCCATTGTCTTCAGTGGAACTACACTGATTTGCACTTGCTGATGACCAAAACATTGTTTTTATTCCAAGACGAACGGTTTAATGCTTCAAAATTGGCACTTGAGGTAGGTAGTAAAAGCAGTTGTACCCAAGTTCTGGTTCTGGTTATCAAAAGCTGTTATTGTATATGTATGAGACCTATTCTAACCAAATTGTGCTACATAGCTTATATTCTTGTAGACTCTATCTGAAGAGAAGAAAGCAGAGCCAGGGAATTGGCTTAGTAGGGGTCGTGTTCTTTTGGTCCATAGGGAGTTGGTGGAAATTTGTGTACACCTCAGTGGGCACATCTACATGTTCATTAATGCACAGTGGTTACTGTGCAGTTAATTTAGTACTTGTATAAGCAAATACTAAATATAATCAATAAATATAATGAATATAAAAGTATATACTAAATAGAATCAATTTAGTACTTTATAATCAAATACTAAATCAAGTACTATTCAAGATCACAGTCACACCAGCAAACACCTTTTTAGTGACACTGACTGTGCAGTAGCCTAATAATACTGTGCAGTAGCACATTAGCATTGTTTGTGATATGATGCGCTACTGCACAGTATTATTAGGCCACTGCACAATTAGCGTCTAGTGTAGATGCACCCGGTATCCCTAACCGCAGAGAAAAGAAGTGTCATTTCATTCTCTTTTAAATGAGGTAACTATATGATAAGGAAAGTCCATTTTCCTCATCTGAAAAGTATTTGCCAAGTGCTCCTATCATGTATTTTATTTCCAGTCTCCTGCATCCTCTATTTATTGTTTTACTTATAGCAAAATTGTGAATGGGTAAAGACACAAGTTGAAGGGATATAATTTATCCCATAGCACAGAATAAGTTTATTTTCTTTTCTCTTAGTAAAACCATTTTTCTTCATAAGGGAAATGTACCCATTAGTGTATGTTAGTCTGTGGTTTTTGTTGTCCATTAGTATTACTTCAGAGTCAAGGATCTGAGCCATCTTTCACAAGTTTGGGGCTCAAATGAGCAAAGGCAATCTACTCCAATAACTTCTCTAGTTTCCTGTTTTATATTTGTCTTTTTTCAGATCAGTCTAGTAATTTCTCCATGCCATGGGCTAGATTAGGTTTTTAGATGATCAGGCATCGAGTACAGTCTGTAAACTTGCTAGAAAAGAGAGTGTAACCAGACTGATACATCAGCATAGGCAGCAGAAAGATTTGTGTGAGTGCAAGGAAAATAAGCCACTTTGCCTCCAGGTAGCCTTTTCATTATTTCTTCAAAAAAGTTTATAGCTGTAATGTGTTAAATTGAGTTTTTAAACCTAAGGGGCAGACAGGTAGAACAATATTTGTCATTATCTGCATCAGTTCAAAACTTGCCTGTACTTTCAAGGGTCTTGGCATTCAAACCTACAGGAGACTGAAAGAGTGAAAGCAAAGGGAAGACTGCCATGGTATATATTCTTCATCCCCAGTGGAGGACTCTTAAGAAGAAATGAAGAATAATTTGTCAATTTATCACAGTTTTTATTGATATTTATGGATTCAAAGAAAGCAATAGCCAGGAGTTGTTTCAGTACTGTATTTCAAAAACAACGTGTAAATCTTAGAAATTTCTCTTAGTATTGACTTTGTGGGTCAAGATATAATTAAAAAAATCTACAGTTAGTAATAGAAGGTTTCTTAACTGCTCTTACAAGAATAGGAACATTGTGGAATAACATATAATCAAACTAGATGATACAGTTCATGTTGGAGAAGCAGTAGCACATAAAAGAAATGTGTTTTTGAGATGTGTAAAAAAGCTCTGACTGGTCTAGAAAAAATGTTTGTGCCAGTGCAACATCATCATGCTGCATCATAGCTTTCCCAGGTGATTTTGCTTTACTTTATGTGGTAATGTGATGCAGGGGGAAGAAGGGAAGGGTTATATCATAATGATACTGTAGTGTGGCACCAATGCACTGTGTCATTAATGTGTCATGTTATGACAGCTAAATGTTTGGAATGTCACCATGTATCTTACATGCTGTTTTATCACTCTTTTATTTTATTTTCAAAGTCTGTCCACTCATATTCTGTCATTGTCCATGCTCCCTATTGAAGTTATGGCATTCTGCTGAGAATACAATTGGTTATTGTGTGTTTCTTCATAGGTGTTTTCCTCTCAACATTTCTTGTAATACACTTTGCTAATTTTTTAACGAAAGCCAGATAAATATGCCAATAACCTTCAATTCATATGCATGCAGAAAAATGCAATAAAAGAACATTATTTTAAGCATTTGAAAATCAGTAAGTGCTAGATTTAAGGGAGATAGCAAACTTAATTTTGCCTTCTTATGCATTTATCTTGTGCCCTGAATGATGTAGGTGTCCTCTGGGTGAAAAGTGTAAGATTGTTTTACAAGAAACTATCATAATATGTGCACTTAAAGGGCAAAAATTAAAATTGAAACATTACATCTGATGTTTCCTAACTTTGGAGGGCTTGATTTTATTAATGTTCTTGTAATGCAGTTTCCTTTATGCAGTTTCCTAACTTCGCTGTGATAGTCTCTGTCTCATTTTTGCATCATCAGCAGGCCTTGAACCTGCAGCAAAAATTTCTGCCACTTAGTTTTGGAGCTAATTTGGAGAAAGCAATGGATGATGGGCTGCTACAAAAGGATGAATCACTAAAGCCATGTGATAAGTCTGAGGAGTGATTGTGAGGGGTTTTGTCTGCCACCAGCTGTATACGAGACCCTTCAATACACCTGCTTTGGCAGCTTTCAGATTTTTATAACATATTTGCAACTGCTTCCTTAGTAACACCATGGCCATAGCCTGAGAATGTTCATAATCGGTTACTGTTTTGGCAGTCTACCAAACTTTCACCAAGGATCACAGGTGACGTTGAGGAAATGGCAGTAGTTAACAGTTTATACCTGAAAAAAGCCTGGATAATTTCATGGTACAAACAAAAGGTAGTTTTGTATCCTGAGGGTTTCCCCCTTGTTAAAATGCAAAAGCTTGTTGCAAACAAGGGAGATGTTAGAGCTTCTCACAGACAGGTTCCAAAATAGGAGGTGCCAGGCAGTATAAATAGAAAAGATGCTGTCAGCTCACGCATTAAGAAATCATAGCTGGAAATAATGAAAACAGATATTTTCTTCTTGAAACAGTTGTTTATGTAACTGTTAAGTTAATCTAAAGAAAGCTTTTAATGAGGATTTTTCTTGCATTTCAAGGTTCAGTAATGTAATCAGAGTACATACTCGGCTAGAGTCAAGGTACAGTAACAGCTCTGGAGGATCATACGATGATGACAAAAGTAAGTCCTTATATTCAGCCTGGTGCAATTTCTTTGGATGTTTGTGGGAAAGGAAACCTTTTATTTGTAGGTAGTAAATAAAACCTGGAAAAGTCTTCTGTATAGTCTAGGCACAGCTTAGGAAGTTCAGTGCTGATAGCCTCCCCATGTTATTTTTAAACTGATCTTAGGCTTAACTCATTCCTTTGCTATCTCAGGGCTCAAAAGAACCTCTGCACAGGCAGAGATTTCCTGGAGTGAAAAAGGAGGCCTTTCCAAGCAGCAGTGTTTGGAAGTGCTTTCACTTCACGAGGTATAGTGCTCCCAGGGGCTCTATGTCAGCACACTGAACATTAGCATTTGACACATCAGGGTAACAGATGTAACCAGCGCTTCCCTCCCCACCCTAACAAAGCCTTGCCAGTATGTAGGTGTGGCCAGTATATCTATGGGGCCCCTAAAACATACTGCATCACCAAAACTTATCCCTGTCACCTGTAACTAAGTTATGACCATCTCCCATGGCGGGGCATTCAGGAGAGGAGTAGAAATTGGCCTTTGATATTTCATATCGAGAGTATTGGCAGAAACTTGATATATCTGTTATTTATTCAATTTGGCTATTAATTTTGGAAGTGGGGTAGCATGAATTCATTTCTGTAAATGACGGTAAAGAAGCTAATGAACAGATTTCATTTAAACCCTAAACTATATGTTAGAAAGGACAAAAATTCCTCAGCATATGGTAATTGATACAGCAGTGTTAATGAGGATTGAATGAATTAAATTTGAATATTTTCAAATGCATCTACAGCTGGGTAGTTTTAACTAAGGTTTTGGACAAGCTGGCTTCAAGGGAATAGCAGAGTGCTGGCTGAACGGAGTTTTGGAATTTTAAGTACTTTTGTTTGATTCCTGCTTAGGAAAGCAAGAGTTTTTGTGTACTCTTTGTAAACAGACAGGATTGTATTAAAGAAGTACTTGACACTATCATCAATTTCTCCAGTTAATGAAAACAGTCTGGGAAAGCCTGAATATTACTATTTGAATCAAATTGGGGTGACAGTAGCAAACTAAATATTTCTGCAACAGTGGCTCCAAAAAGAGAAGAACTGGAAGACTTTAGGAAAAAATGGGTAAACCACTGCTGCCTGAACTCCAGATTAGTTACAATTACAGCAGTTGTCTAGAGAAGGGGTCAGCAATCTTTTGGGAGCCAGGTTAGCACAGCTCACTTTAAAGGTGGGCCACTGCCAGAGGTGTAAATAAAGAAGTTTGGGTCCTGAGCTAGTGACTCTCTTCTGTGTCCTGCTCCACTCAGACCACAAACTACCACCCCAGTCCTCTCTGTTCTGTGCCAAGTACTGCTCTCTCACTGTAGCTGCCCCTCACCCATGCTGTCGATTTGCTGCCTATGACCAATTTGATGGCAGCAGGAGCCACAACTGCAGAAGGGGGGCATGCAGGAAATTAAGGACAGCTGGGATAGTAACATGCTACTGATTGCTATTTTCAGCCTGGTCACTGTTCATGTTGTTGCCTCTGATTTCCTATATCTGCCAAGGTCCCAATGCACATGCATCCATTGATATGATGCAATCACTTCATGGCCCAGATCTGGCCTACAGCCCCTGGTCTAGAGTCTTACATCCTTTTTATATCAATCCAACATGCAGTTAAGTAAAGTTTACCCATGCATTTGGTGCTTTTCATCTTCAGAGTTCAGAAAGGACTTACTTCCTGAACATCAGCAGCGTAATTTGCTCTGTACAAACAGAGAAGAAAAAACAGCCCATAGCTGTAAGAGCATAATTCTATATTTCCATTAGTTTGCCAGTCATCACAAAATGTGAGGTAAATAAGTGTTGCTAGTTTCTCTCTTGCAAATAGCCAAGCCTGAAAAACAGACTTGTTGAAACTGCCCAAGGCTAAACAGGATTCTGTGGCAAAGTCATAATTAGAACGCAGGGTCTTTGCCCTCAGTTCTATTCGTAGTCCCTTCACCGTACTACCTATCTGCCTTACTTTTCTTTCCAACCCTCTTCTTGACTTATTATCAAAGCACAGCACCTTAATTCAGAGTCTTCATTCTCTTTTCCCTCCAACTTCCATTTTGTATAACACACCAATTTAACTGCATACCCTGTTACACAGTTACCACAACTGGTACCAAAAACATCAGGCTGCTTTCTCCAGTTGGATGAATCATAGTGGCATTTGCAACAAGCTTATGTGCTAAAGTAACTTTCTGTTTTTTCAGGAAAACTGGGGGGTGGGAAGAAACTCACACCAAATCAAGACCTAAGTTAAGAAAGGTGATACTTTCCTTTGGTCCATCTCCTCAAGCCATGCATCTGTTTATCCCTGATTTTACCTGCAAAGTGCTAACCTGTACAACTATAAAAAGAATGGTGCAGTGGTTACTTCTAGGTTTTCTGACAAATATCAAGATGTAAGATAAAATATGTGACACTTAAAATGAGGTGCCTTGTATGGGCATGTTTAGACTTCTCAGGCATTTATTCACACCTGGAAGAAGCTCCTCAGAATGCAGGACAAGCATGCTTCTACCTTTTGCATGTCCGGGAAGCTGCACAACCGACTAGTTGCAGAAAGCGAAACTGTGCCATGGCTTCTCTCCACTCTCCCCTACCTGCTTGATATCGATTGCATTCCCAAGAGTCCAGATTAGTCTGTCACTGCCCCTCTGCACAAGGATTTTTTTTTCCCCAGGTCTTTATGGAAGAGATCTTATTTGAAAGAATAAAAAGCTTCTTATCTCCCTTGCTCACACAGAACCTCGCTGAAGGGACAGGGACATTCTGTGCCTTAATGGGGTAGTTATTGTACTGTTAAATGGATTAATAGTAAATAACAGCTATATTGTGTTTTTTATTTGCAAAACTTGGAAACTATCTGGTAAATCATCATCCTAAGTTCCGTAAGGCAAATAGATCCTATTTAACTCTATTTATAGAAAATTTAATTATCCAGATTAAAATGTCTAGATTTATCTGTAGAAGGAGTAAAATATCACCTACTGGAATACAAAAAGAATTGGCATAAATTTAAGCCAGAGAGAAAAAAATAAAATAAATGGAAAAAATTCACTCCCTAAAGGATTGTATTTGGTAATAGTAAAAAAGACATGAAAAGAAAAATCAGACTTGCCACTCCTGCACTCTGGAAAACATGGAAGACATTTGGATAAGAATTAAAAGTATTGTAAATGAGACAAGTGGCATGCCAATGGGAATGTTGGAGCTTGAGGAACCAACATAAAATGTTGGCTACATAAATTAACTGGCTGAGAGACAACACTGAGAATTTAAACAATGCAGAAAAGAAGAAATTAAGGGTTAAGGAAATGGGCAGGATAAGAAATCAATTTTAGAATATTTCAGAAAGACAACTCCAATTATTTGGATATGTGTCAGAAAGGGATTTGCAAAGTACTCAACATGATGCTACATATCTACGTACAATGAATAAAAATTAGAGAAAAACTTGAGGATGCATTGCATGGACTCTGAAGAATGACATAGAACAAAGCATTTTAAAGATGAATGAGGCCATGAAGCAGGGGCGAGACATAAAGTGGTGGTGAGATTTCATTCTACAACATTGCTGATGAGCTGATGGACAGGAATAAAAGAAAAATCTATTGTTTATTACATCCAACAGCTGTCTCACTAAACCTAAACTAAATGCGTATTTGAGAAGCTTCATAAATATTTCATCCCTGTTGAAAGAAATTTACCACACTGAAGATGTTTTCACATTCCTTGTTTTCTCTTGCTAAATCAGCAGATTTAATTTTTAGCTTTTCTATAGCATCATTCAGTGGGGCATTACAAGAATATGACACTGCTATATGGCTCCCTGCAACAGATGCCAGGCTATGGCCGTTATATTGACTGAACTTTAATTTTTGAAGAGTGAGTCCATTCATTGCCAGTGATCTGCTCTGTGATGTAGATCCTAAGTTACTAAAAAACAAACCAAAGAAAAGGAATTTAGCTGCAGCCCCATACAATTCAGCACTGCCTGTAGGCACTATGTGGGGGCCCAAGGACCCTAACCCCCCCTCGGGAAGGGGGGGGTGACCACACATCCCTAATTACGCAGGACAGTCCCAAAATGGGAACATCAAGACCCAGTCCTGGGTTGCATGATTCAGGAACAGCATTTGTCCCAGATTCCCAGTATCGTGCAGGGATCCAAGTATCTGTTTACCGCAGGAAATAACGGATTACCCCATGCATGCATGTGCCTCCCAGATTTGTGTGCAGGGAAAGGGTGGATGTGGGCTGCCCACTGTGGTCTTAGGGCTCCCCACCCTGCTGCTGTCCCCCTGGGAGCTCCACACCACCATAGTAAGGTGCCTTGTGCCTGCCTAGCAGTAGCAGGGGCGGCAGCACAGAGTTGTGCCCCCCATTACTGCTGGATGACATAGAATGCCTCACTTTGGCAGCATAGCCAACACAGGGCTCCCAGGGGGAGGGCAGCAGAGCAGGAGCTCTGAGCCCGTAGCAGACAGCCTGCATCTGCCCCCGACCCCCCTACAGACTCCGCTCAACTCTGCTCCAGCCATGCCACTGCAGGGGCAGGGGGGGCATCATCTTAGGCATCCCTCCCTCCTTCTGCTCAGCTCTGCTCCAGCCATGCCACTGCAGGAGGGGAGGGGGAGGGGCAAGGCGGGCATCATCTTAGGCACCACACCCCCCACCGGCAAAACTAAAAGTCAGCACCTATGGCGCTGCTTGCTTGAACTATGTTACATTGGTGAAGGAGGGATTAAGCATGCAGCATTTATTATTGCAAGCCTAATGTCATCCTGCAAAATGATTCTGAATGATTGAACCACTGCATTTAGCATGAACTTTTTTTCAACCCTGAATAATAAAGCTGTTGGTTTTTATGACATGCTAAAACATATTTTATTACTTTACCATGCAGATGATCCTGTTTCTCCATACACAAGCTGGCTGTTGAATATTGTTGAAACCAAACAGCCACAACCTTTGCCAATGCCTTATAATGGGGGATGCTGGGCACCACTAGTTGACTACCTCCCAGAAACCATCACACCACGGGGACCCCTACATAGGTGAGCATTACAGAGAAAAGATTCGTCTTCCACCATACATTTTTACTGTTCCAAATATTTCCATTTGAAATCAGAAAGATTTTCACTTAGACTTTATAGTTCTAATGCTTCATTAAAATTGTAGCTTGTTTCTGGTGGGTGAGATCAGAAGTAGTGATAGAAAGTTCTGAAGAAACAAAACCTGACTAGAAACTAGAACATTGTCTTTCCCAATCCTTAAAAAATTGCTATTCAAAAAACATTTTTCTCCTGATTTTTCCTTTTTTTTGTTCTTACTATGCTGTACATATGCTGGAACTCCTCTTTTACATAATCTGTATTGACATGAATACCATTGTTGTACTATATTGACATGAATACCATTGACATGAATACCATTATTAATTTCAATAATTGTATTTTACAGTAAAGTATTATAATTTCACGTACTGTGACTTCATTTTGACATTTATATTCAAAAGAAAATTTAGATTTTACAAAATATAAAGATTATTTAATTCTTGCAATAAAGCATTATGTATACTCATTTTTTTTGGTTAAATGCACCTTGCACCATAAGAGCTTATGACAGAGATCAGTCCAGGGCACTGTTGTGCGTGCCCTTATCATTATTATCCTTATTAACATTAGTTTTAATATTGCTGATTTTTAAGAAATGATCTCAATGTAAAAAGTAAAACAATAATCAGTTCCAGCTGTGAATAAGAGGGCAATTGCATGAAAGCTATGACCTGAGTACATCCTGAATATGCACTGAGCCAAGCCTGCTGTATTTAATCTAGCTGTTGTCTGGTGTGCTGAGCAGCAGTCATGAACTCTACCAAACTGTGTGATAGATGTAGATCTGGAATAAATTGGAAATTAATTTCACTTGGGATACATGTCAAGAGCTAAATTTCATTTCCCAGCACTGTATATCTAGTGCATTAACCCATGTCCCACCTTGTCATGTCTTATCAGTTCTTATGTGATTGCACAGCCTATTTCTGTTTTCTATCTCCTAGAAGTTTTTAAATTCCTGTTGTGATTTTTCTTACTAGGTGCAATATTGCTGTCATCTTCATGACCGAAATGGTAGTGGATCACAGTGTAAGAGAAGATTGGGCCCTCCACCTTCCCTTATTACTTCATGCTCTCTTTTTAGGTAAGACCAGTGGAACAAGAATTAAAGAATTGAAATATGAGTGCATTCCAGTGCCAGTAGTCTTATTGAGACAGTGGAGTTAGCAATATTTAAAATTTTCCTTTCATACCTTCCCCTATAACCTTTATAAGATCTCTCTTTTCTCACTGGTGTTTTGTAACATCTGTTCTTGAAAATGAACTTGATCATCTGGATAGTCATTATTGCAGCATTTTTTATACCAGCACTCACTGCTCCAAGTATTTTGTTGCCTTCTTTTGCCCTAATTTTAATAAGACATTTCAAGCTCTCATAAACAAGTGTTTACCATACTAAAGTAGCTAAGAACTGTATAAATATTATCTTACTTATATAAGTGCTAAAGATTTTTTTGTAATACATTATGAAAATAGTCAGAACATATGCAATGAATTAATAATAACTGGCACTCTCAATTGAGTTCTTAATGGGAAGAAGGCCACAGTCCAAAATTTACCACCATAATTGCAACTAATTTGCATTCTTATCAGTAGTCTCAGAACAGACACTCAGGATTCAATGAGCAGGTAGACCAGTGATTCTTAACCAGAGTGCTGTAGCACTCTAGAATACCTTAAGATCCCTGGCAGAGTGCAGGACTGTTGCAGAGCTCTGGGACAGTCCTGCCTTGCAGATGGCCATGGGGCTTGAGTTCTCAGTGCTTGAAAGATTCTGTTGATAGAGCTGAGATCCTTGATTCTACTTAGGATTTGGCTCCTGCCTCCAGAACAGGGACCTTGTAAGCATACAAAACCTCTGTTGAGGCTTCCAGACTTCCAGATTTCCTGTCCTTTTTTGCTGTGTACACTTATAATACCTTTCATAGAAGATTATGTAAAATACCTATCTCCTGAATTCTTCACAGGTAGCTCTAAAAGAGTATACAAAACCAATCTTAACCAATCTTAAAACGTTCTAGGCAACAGCAACATTTGGCTTAAAAATAAAAATGGATTTACCCTTTCAAACTTAACCTGGAATCAAGACATCAGATATCATGAGAAGTTGCTAAAAGGACAAAGAGTTTAGCTTCAGTGTAGTGTGAACCAAACAAGTAACTAACAGCTGATAAACTAGCTAAATAGCCAGTTTGGTTCAGTTGTAGAGGTCTGAAAAATACAGCTGTGGCATTTGTAATCAGAAATGTTATGAGTCATTCTAAAACCTTACATTTTAATAGATCTGTTATGAGAAATCAATGAAGAGACTTAAGACTAGAAGTAATATACAAGGCAGTGGCCACATCTATGCAGCCCAGAGGCCCTGTAGCTCAGCCTGGTGCAGCCCACAGGCCTTAGGCCCAAGCTGGCACAGCCTGCAAGGTGTTTGGCCCCCAGCCACTTAGAAGTTGCACAGCCCCATCACTAGTGATTAAATGGAGAACAGGATATATAAGGCCTGGAAACATAACTCAAGGGATTCTTAGTTTTTGAGAGTGGAATGTAGAAGTCAAATGTAATCCCTGGGTAACTTTATGACTTACATTTTGAATTAACATTCTGTTTTATTAAGGTTCAGTTTCATAAAATTGCCATACAGCCCATGTAAATGTTTCTGTGCTCTCGTTAGCAGACCTTCACAACAGTAATGATAAACCTGTTAACCAGAATCATGAATGTAACATGCTAAAATAGTAGTGATGTTATGCTTGAATGTAAGTAGGCATAGTGGGAGAGAGAACATGAAGGAACTCACTGCAAGAAATTGGAGATAGTTTGGAGTTAAACTGAGCATACGTGTACTAATATATTGGAAGGAGTTGGAAAATATTTAAGATGAAGTGAATTTACAGTAAAAACACAGATAATGGACTGTATGAAGCATAGTAATACGGAAATACAGACTAGGTGAAAGTACTGGAAAGTAGATACATATATAGTTGAGTCTTTGCATGGGTGACTGGTGTGTCCTGAGTCTGGGGGGGCACCAGATTGCCAACGGGAGTGTCCCCCATCAGCCAATCACCGACCGGGGGGGCGGGGGCTTTGCAGCTGATGCTTCCAGGGGGTGCACGGCCAATCTCAGGGGGTGCACATGCACCTGCATGCACTCCCTACACATCACCAATGGGTCTTCATGCTCAATGAGTAGTCATCAGTGGCTCAATGTCTGGCTGCGAGGAGGCATCAAATGGAGTTTCCCCATAGGTCTGTCCAGCTCTAGTATTAGTCAACATTTTAATGATTTGGATGATTTGGGTGGAGCTGCAGATACTCTGGAGGGTAGGGCAGGATCCAGAATTCATTAATTCTGGATAGACTGGAAAAATAGTCGACAAATAATCACGTGAGATTCAGCAAGGATAAGTGCACTTAGGATGGAATAATTACATGCACAAATACAGAAGGGGGAATAAGTGGCTAGGGTGCTGTACTGTAGAGAAGGACCTGGGGGTTACAGTGGATTATAAGATGAATATGAGCCAACAGTTATGATTTTGTTGTAGAAAAAGCCAAGAGCGTATTGGGTTGTATTAATAGGAGTGGCGCTTGCAAGTCAAGGGAAGTAATTCTTCTACTCTGTTCTATACTGGTGAGGCCTAACCTTGACTACTGTCTCCAGTTTTGAGCCCCACATCTCAAGGAGTATGTGGACAGTTTGGAAAGAGTCCAGTGCAGGGCAACAAAAATGGTTAGGGGCCAGAGAGGCATGACTGATGAGGAAAAGGTAAATGACCTAGGGTTATTTAATTTGGACAAGGGGGGCACGTTCAAATGAGCACGCATGTGCCTCTTGCAGCATCTCAAAGCCCTTTAAGATGCTGCAAGAGGCATGTGTGGGAACAAAAAACTGTTCCCTGTGCTGCAAATTTGCAGCAAGGGAGCTAAATTAGACCCTTGGATATCCAGGGGTGAAAAAATACCCCAGGCAAAAAAAGCAGGGCAAGGCACAGTCCAGGACCATGCCCTGAGGCAACCAGAGGCTCGGGTCCTCCACAAAGATGCTTTGGTAGCCAGCCAAAGCATCTCTATGGCTGGCCCTTGCTCCAGTGCTGACTGGACCTGGGCTCTGTGCTGGTAAGTAGGGGATGGTGGGGGTTGGAGAAGCGGGGAGGGAACCATGGAGGGACCCCTACCCAGCCCCATTCCTCACCTGCCCCCCAAGCCCTCCTGATTGCTGCCTCACCTGGCCCCATCCTCCACTGGCTCCTGCAGCACCCCCATCACTGCCCTGCCCGGCCCCAGCATCCCAACAATTTAAAAAAAAAAAAAAAAAGGCCCCACACTCACTGGTAGTAGCAGCTGCTGTAGGGGTCACTGGGGCCTCCTGGCAGAGCCCCCCTGCACAGCACGGGGCAGCAGGGACCAGCCCTAGCCACCTGACACTTGCACTGCCACTGCCATTTTGCATGGGGGCAGCTGGGATTGGCAAGGCGCCATGCAGCTCCACACACTGTCAGGCAGCTGGAGCTGCTGTGGCTGTCACCCAGTGCCCTGCATGGCTCAGCCTAAGTGGCCCCAGCTGCCTGACAGTGCGCAGAGCTGCATGGCACCATGCCAACTGTGGATGCACCCTCACAATGGCAGTGTGGGTGCCAGGCTGCCTGCCCCATGCTGTGCAGGGGGGTGACTCTGCCAGGAAACCCCAGTGACTGCCAACAGCTGCTGCTACTACCGGTGAGTGCCAGGCCTTTTTTTTTTAATTTTTTTAAGTGCTGGGAGGCTGGGGTTGTTGCCATATTTGCCCATCACTTAGGGGTGTGCTCATTTATTCGGGGTATGTTTCTGGGGTTTCTGTAATTCTATCAATGTGCTGCTTGTGTCACTTGTGTTTCTATATGGAGCTGTATCTCTCCCTTCTGCAAGTCCTCACCCCCAATGGAGCTATCTTGCAGGACTCCGTTTCAGTGGGGCTGGGTTCCTGCAGCCACCAAACCAGTCAAATACATACACACAAACAGATTAATGTGACACACCTGACGCAGCCGGGTTGATCAGCACATACAGGTTGACACCTTCATATGCCAGGAATCAGTTAATTAAGGTAACAATAAAATACAGTTGGACTAAAGCACACAGGTGAACAGAATACCTCTGAATCAGGCTGGGTGTCCAGCTGACACCCTCATGGGCCAGCATTCAGTTCATTAGGGCACATCTGAGCCAAACTGGGTCAATCAGCCAATACAAGCTGATCCCCTTATGTGTCTCAAACTCAGCACGTCCCATTCTTTTGCCCTAACCATCCTAGTAGCGATAGCTTCTTGATGAGCGAACCCCACAGTATTTCTGGGTTTTACAGGGATCTTTAGCTTAGGTAAAGGAAGTGTTGCTGCAGAGCAAGTGGGGAAGGGAAAGTAGAGAAGGAAAAATACACCCAGTTACCACCAGTTTGACTATAAAAGTTATTTATTGCTAAGTATATTAAATTTATTATGGCATTAGTAATAATAGCCATGCAAGGGAAAACAAAAACAATTACAGTATTACCCTGGTTTAATTGAGTATTTGGGGAAACTTAGCTCAAGCTTAACTAATAAAATTCAGGTTCAGAAAGCTATGCCTAGAGAGAAAAAGAGAAAGAGGGAGAAAGAGAAAGAAAGTGAGAGCTGGGATCTCACCATTCCAAGGCACTTGGATATTTTGTTGACAAAGTTCCTAGCACGATCGTTGAAGGTTAAACAGGCAATGGAAAGAGACTATCTGTTTATCCCAGCTTCTCAAGAACAACAGCAGATGATGTCAGAGAGATTTCTGCCTCTTGAAGTACACTGTTTGCTGCTTTATAGCTTTATAGCTTTCTTATACCCTTAGTCTTTGTGGGGAGGACTTTCACCAGTCATCCTGGGAAAAGTATGACAGCATTTGTGGTTAGGGCTTCAACAAGCTGGACATTGTGATGAACCCTTAACCATTGTTCAAATGTCGCCCATACTCCCTCTGACTCAGTCTCTTGCCTTAGCATTCCCTAACCTGACAACCGAGTTTTAGTCAATGAAGTTTAAATAGATCTCCCATACTGAGAATGGGGAATGTACAGCCTGAGATGCCTATTAACATTTTATTCTGCTTAATTTTGGTTAGGTAAGGTGTGGGGGAAGGGCAGGGGGGAAGAAAAAGTCCTTTGTAAGTCCAGCAAGCTGGGTGCCAGGGTTTCCTCAGGAACTCAAAACTGACAGATAACAGGGCCAGGTGGGGCAGCTATCAGGGATCTGGGGGTGCAAGTGGGGAATGGGGCCAGGTGGGGCAGACATCAGGGGTCTGGGAGTACAAGTAGCAGGTGGCACTGGGCAGGGCAGCCATCAGAGGGTCTGGGGGTACAAGCAGGGGGTGGGACTGGGCGGGGCAGCCATTGGG